TCAAATGAAACATTATATGAAGGCCACATATTTGTTTTTCTTCTGAAATTAAATATTCAGTAACATCATGTGATTTCATTAATCCAGGCATTTGTTCACAAATAAATAATGACTCTAATTTATTTTTTTTCCATGCATTTACATCAAAAACAATCCATTGATTATCGTAAGTACCTGAATTATAACCCTTAATTAATTCAACAAATTCTTTTGCTGTTCTTTCATAATAAAGACCAGATAAAATACGTTGCCATGAGAGTAATTTATCATTAATATCTTCATAAATACTTGAATCATGAACCGAATTTGTTGTTTCTGCTACAAATAATTGTGTGTCTTCAGCATTAACAGTATAGTAATCATCTTTTGAATGAATAAGTCCTGGTGATGATGAGAAACTCATTTTAAGTCTTCTTCCTCCATAAAACAAATCATAAACTTTATAAATTCTCAACATTGCATAATATCCTCTCCATGTTCCATGTGCAAAATAAACTTCATCTCCTACTGCACGAACTAATGCACTACATTCATGATAAATTCTATCAGGAAATGCTTTTCTCATATAGACAATTGACGTTTCTGGTTCTTTTCCTGTTTTATAAAGCTCATTTAAATTTTCTAAATCTCCAACTGAAATTAACATATAAAGTTCAATTTCTGGAAGTTCTTCTTCTGCAGGAGATGCTGCCATGTATCCATCTACTAATCCATTAAATTGATATTTAATAACTTTTTGTCTTCTCCAATATTCACTAGTATTTGTTGATGATTCTGTCTTAAAGAAATCAAGTTGTTCTTGCATTTTATTAATTAATGTATCAGATGGTTGACCATTTTCATATTCATTTGCTTTGTAGTTAGTCCAATACAAATACATATAGTGATGTGTTAAATATGCTTCTAAATATCCTAAACAATATGACTGTTCAGTCTCTTCTAATTTGAAGTTACTTCTAATATATAATTGTCCCCATCCTGTTGTCTGAATAGTGTCATCATAATATCCAACAGCACAAGCATCTCCAAATCTACCAGGAACTACTTTGTATGTCCCTTCAGATTTGTGAAGCACAGAGTAATAAGTACTTGCACTAACTAAACTAATTAATGCTAATACAAGCATCCTTGTTTATACTTATTTTATAAGTTCTTTTACATTTTCTTTTCCCTTCTAATAAAATCTTCTTTCAATATAGAATTTTCTTTGATTTCTTTTTTTTTTTAAATGTAATATATAACGTTTTTATGAATGAAATAAATTAAAATTAGTTTTGTGTTGTGGAGTAAGTAAAATTTGTAAATAACTCATTTGGTACATCTTCACCTCCTAATGAAAGTGACTCTTCAGTAATCTCTTTATAGAAATAACGTAAGTCTGTAGATGAAGATAGTTGTGGAATATAATCTGGAAGTATTTTTTTAGCAAATAAATTATCCCAATGAATGTCGTGAAGCCAGGGATGGGCTTTAATTGCCTCTGCATCATGAAGACGTTCAATAGGATTTTTCTTTAATAATTGAGAAATTATGTCGTGACATTCCAAAGAAATTTCTGTCTGTTCTGAGAATGTAAGTTGGTTGTACAAGATGTTATGATATAGTCTTTGAATGTTTTCATCATAAAATGGTACTGTTCCATATAACATTTCATAAATTAAAATACCTAATCCCCACCAGTCAACTGCATTTGTGTATGCAACGTTTTGTATAACTTCAGGAGCAAGATATTCTGGAGTACCACAAAATGTTGCTGTTGTTGAGTTATCAGAAATACCCATTTTACTCAATCCAAAATCTGTTAAACGAATATACCCATCAGCACAAATCAAAATATTCTCAGGCTTAACATCTCTATAGATAATACCTTGATTATGTAAATGTTCTAAAGCAAGTATTATTTGAGTGGCATAAAACTTTGTTCTTTTTTCATTAATGGTTTGTTCTTTTTTCATAAGAGAATACAACTCACCACCAGGGCAATAATCGATTACATAATGAAGGTTGGCAGGTGTTTGAAATGAACAATACAAATTTACTAAAAATGGGTGTCTTACTTTTGCTAGAATATTTTTTTCTTCTAAGGAATGTTCTACTTCATCACGTTCTATTACTTGTTTCTTTGGAATAACTTTCATCGCAAATAGTGTTTGTGTTTCTTTGTTTTTGACTAAATAAACTTTACCAAACGCTCCTTTTCCAATAAGTGAGATGATATCAAAATCATCTGAACTGACATACTTATCTTCAGATTTCTATTTCATAAATCATAAATTTCTTATTATTATTAAATAACAAACATCCAATGATACATTAACCCTATCCGATATCTCTTTTAAACAACTAATCCAATCATTCATATCTTTTTCATCAGCACAATTAATATAATATGTTCTAGACGGAGTAACAATTTTAAATACATAATTATGTTTTTTATATCTTCTCACTGGTTCAATACATGTTGCTAATTCAAGAGGAATTTCACCCATTTTAGAAAATAACTATTTCTAAATACTTTTTCGATTTTTTTATATGAATATACCATAGAAAAATAAAAAAACAAACCAATTGATCTTTATAATAAGATAATGTTGTTTGGTCAAACACAAAAAATCTTCTTTTCCAACTCTTCCATTTTCCCCCTTCTTTAACAAGCCAACCAGTTTTTTTGACAACATGATCAGTTGACATTTCTCTGAAATTCTTCTTTTTTTTAAGATTTTTTCTTTTTTTGTCTTCTTTGGATATAAATAAAATGAGATTTTCAGTAATTACAAAAAAAATGATTACAATCTGAATCTTAAGATAAATTAAATCTTCATTTGCACTAAGGTAATGAAAAACATTCTTGACTCATATAACTAGTAAAATCTGCCCATGTAAATTTTAATGGGTACAACTCTTCATGTCCAGGAAAATGACCATTTTCCTTATAATAATCTACTAGTTCATCTTTGTGTTTCCAAATATTACTTAGCCATTGTTTAAACTCATTTTCATCTTCAGGAATGTCTTTAACGTCAATACGATTTACATTCATATGAATATTAACACCTTCACCAGGACAGAAACAAGAAGCTAAACTAACAGTGTTTGGATAACCTAAAGTAATATCATAAACATAAGGAACAACATTTCTTAATTGTTTTAATGAAACAAAAAGTCCTGTGTGTCTTGGGTTTAACAAGTTCTTATAAATAGGTAATTTATGTTCTAAACAATATTTTTGTGCTTCAACAATTTTTTCAGGTTTTGCACGAGTACCCTCTGGGAAGATAATAAGCCAGAAAGGATAATATTTATTTCTAAACCGTTTAAACGTTTCATTGATATGATGTTGATCTAGTTGAAAGTTTCTTTTAAGATAAATACTATCCATCATATAAAAACCAAATCCAATGAAAGGAATCTTTTTTATATCATCTTTCATAAAATATCTCATTGAACCAATTCTCCCACATTTTGGAGCAACTAAACAAACTGGAACAAAATCAACCCAATGACTGTGATTACTAATCCAAATGGCATTAGCGTTTTCAATCATTTTATCTCCAGAGACATAAATTCTATTACCATTAATATAATAAAATACTAATGGAAAATACATCATATATACTTCTGTTACTCTTTGAAATATCCATTGATATAATGGACGATATAAAATATATATTGGTAAAATAATAACGTTAATAATTAATAATATTGTAATTTGTATGAAAATTGACATTAAAAATCCATATGCAAAATATATTTTTAATCCCCAACATATTTTATTTATTAATTCATTACACTTCATTTAGTATTTTACTTCTTCTGTTTTCTTTTTTAGTTTTAATAACACTTTTAATAACATAAATTTTGTTATCAATAGTTTTTTGTTAAAAGAGTTTTTAAGATTCTTAATTTTTAGTTTATTATAATATAATGGGAGAACAACAACGAATTACTCCTCGTGTTTATTTTTCTTTATTAATAATTTTTATGGCACTATATTCTATTTATATAGGAACAACAATTTATTCAAATGGAACAACACAACAACCTTCAAAAAAATTACCATCAAAATATATGTTTTTATTAACCAATATTATTGTTGGAATTTGTGAAATTCTCATTGGACTATTTGGTATTATTGCATTTAGTGTTAGAGGTAAATATTTTCTTATATTATTGTTAGTTGGAGTTATAATATCAACTTTCTTATTATTCATTATAACAAGTTTCTACGGAATAACTTCAATCAGATTTGATTATTTAGATACAATGGGAAGTGATAATATGATAACTATTGAATATGAAGTTTGTTATATAGCTTTTTCTTTTTTATGTTTTAACTATTCTATTAAATATTCATTAAAATTAGAATAATTGTTGTGGATGGAAAACTTTAAAACTATATGGATGTGGTTCACCAATAGATTCTCAAGAAACTTGTTATAGTTTAACGGGTGTTGGTTATGAAAAATTATTAAAATCTACCTTCTCTAATCTTCTTTTTCAATTATTATTTTTTGTCTTCTATCTCATTGAGGTAATTGATGAATTAAATCAGTTAAGAAACAAACAGAAAGAAGATGATATGTATGCAGAACCTTTTATTGATCCAGATAATGAATAGTATTTAAATTTGCATTTTATTAACTATTTTATATAGTTTAATTTACTATAAATTATATCATTTAAAAATAAAAAATAAGGAAATGAGAAAAATAATGATTATCGTGATTCTGAACCGAGATTATAATGTACGAGTACATCTGCCCCTTCTTTGTATACTTCATACCCATAACCAGGATTGAGATAACAATATTCTACGAATAATGGAGTGTTTCCTAAAGTATTTGTAATATCTTTGTGAAGTGCAATATGGGTATCTTTGACATCGCTCATTGCAAATAAGAATGCATCAACAACATCTTGTTTAGGTGCTGGAACTAATACACTTATTCTAATAATAATTAATATAATTAATAAAATAAGAAATAAATAATAACAAACTTAACAAATCCTTCTGAACTAACTATGACACATAAATAGAAATATGTATAAACTGGAGGTAAATTGGTTAATATTTCTACAACGTTAACAGGTATTGGTGGGAATCCAAATGTAGTAAATGCAGAATGTACTTTGTCCATTCTTGATGAAATAACACCATCCAATTTAAATCTAAATTCTGATTGTCTAGGTGGTGTTGCTCCCATATCTCTTCCCATTTGACAAAGATAATTTAATCCATGTTCTTTAGCCCATGTAATAAGTCGTTCAGCATATTCACATTTATCAGCAGTGTCTCTAATAACATCACAAACCAAATCACCTTTAAAGAACCATCCTCCATCCATACCATTCATTACACTCATATCAATCCAAGAACCAATTTCAGATGGATTAATTTGACATCCTAAATTATTTAAATGATCAATTTCCTCATCAGGTGCACCAACATTCCAAAAGAAATCTACCATATTTTGAATTAAAGCACCTTGAGGTCCAAATACTCTCCAACTTAATTTTTCAGTATTTCCTGATACAACAAGCATAAATTGAATTGATTGACCAACTTCAAGAGCATCTGATTGAGGAGTAGAGTCCATCCAATATTTCCAAAATTCAACAACGTTTTCTCCTTCAACTTGTAGCCAAGATATTTTAGCTTTAATTTTGTTAATATTCTTTCTTCCATCACATTTTTGGTTGAAGTGAATTTTGGAATATTTTACAGTATCTGCCATTGGTGGGATTGTTGCAGTGGCTGGTTGAGTTGAAGTAGAAGGACCAGTTGTAGAATTGTTTCCTTGTAAAGTAAATTGATTTTCAACTTTAGGGACATTAATAGGAGTTGTTGATTGAGCAGTAGGGATAGAAGAAGTATTTGAAGAAGGAGAAGGTTTAGTTAATACTTTTCTTACAGCATCAAAGAAAGTAGCATGATCAACAGAATTTTCTGTAACAATATAAAATACACGAGACCCTTTTGTGTTTCTTGAATTAATAGAAAACATAAACTTTTTATTTTGTGATACATCTCTTGTTTCTGTTCCTGGAGGTAATTCAATAAATCCTTTTGCTTCTTCAGCTGTTTTAGAAGCAAAATACCATAACCGATTTTCTTTTAATACAAACCATCTTTTTTTCCATGTCTTTACAGATCCTCCTTGCTTCTTTCCCCATCCTTCAAACAGTGCAGGTCTTAATGATTCAACACTGATTTTCAATTCTTCTGACATTTACAATTTATTAACGATCTTAAAAAGTTATGATTTTTTATTAATGTTATTTTTTTTTTAATTTTTTTGTATTTTTATTCTTAATTCCTTGAAAACTATTCTTTTCATGTTATTTCTTTTATTAGTTTTTGCTTTAGTTATATAAAACGAAATTTATTCTTTTGTTAAACTAAAAATAAATAGAAATTAATCAAAAGTATTTGTTTTTCATGGTAGTTCTAATTATTGTAATAAACATTTTCCTTTCTTTTTTATTTTTTGTTTGTGACACATTTGTTGGGTGTTGAATTTTCTAATTCGGGTGTACGTTTTTATTTCACGAACAATAGTATCAAATAATTGGTTATGTTAGTGTTTTATTTTGATGAAACCTCCATAGTTGTGATTCCCCATTTATTTGAAATGCCTTGTGCAGTAGTTGCTGAAACAATCATTCTTTTTCTAAACCACATTTATTTCCAACAAGAGTCATAGAAATAAAACTTTTTTCAAAATCAATGTCTGGTCTCCTAAACAATTGTTCCCTTAAACCTATTGCATCACTACATGAGACGATATCAAGTATAGGAAGAAATAAAACAAGTTCATCACCTTCTCGTACGTAAGTATCTCTTAACTATTAGACCCTTCTTTTCCTGTAGTTATTATCAATAACTACTGTACTTTATATGAACATTCTAGTGTTGGAACATAAGTTTGTTTAATTTTTATAGCATGAGTGTATGGTGACTGATGAATTGCTAATAGTACCACCTTCAAGCATCATGATACTTATAGATTCACTTATCTTTTTTTTTCCTTCAGCAAACAATAACTATTTTTGAGATTTTTTCTATTTTTATTTTATTCCTTTTTCTATTTTTAAAGATATTGAATCTATTTTTAAAAGATTTTTTTAATCTAATTATATGAGATTTTTATCTTTTTAATGAAAAAAATAACAAAATAAATTTTTTCTTTTTGTTTTTTAATTAAGTCATAGCTAAAATACTGCACTGACAGTTACATAAGATATTGATGAAGAAGTTGTTTTGTAGTGTCATAAACTCCCTCAACATTTAAAGCTTTCTTAAACATTTCAACCAAAGCAGGTTTTTGTTGTTGAAGTTCAGGAATAGTAGAGTAGAAATGAGCGAAAGTAGAATAAACTATTTGTTCTTCTTCATGATCAGAGATGATTGGAAGGAAATTTAATAATTGAGGAAGGATAGCTTGTGGTTGGAATGGAATACCTTCAATCATTAATATACGGCAAACGCATGAAATAAAATTATCAATTAATCCACGTCGTTTAATTGTTGGCAATAATTGAGCAATAAGTTGAAGAGCCTGTTGAGAAGCATTGATAGCTATTTGTCTTTTTGGAGTAGAAGCAAGGATAGTAACAAGTATACCTAATCCATAAACAGCATTTCTACTTACGTCTTCATTTTTGTTTGAAATGCAATTCAAGAATAATGTTAATGCTTGTTCAGAAATACATTCAGGACAGGTATGAGTAAAATTAAAGAATTCAGCAATAATACCAACTGAAGTTGCTTTAGTAATAGAGTTATTTCTTTTTTGAACAATACTACTAAGGATTTGGAATATTTGAACAAAGTAATCACTCATTGATTGACCAAATAATTTAAACATTATCATAATAACATCACTGGCAGTAGCTAATAAATCACTTTCAGCTTCATGAATTTCTTGAGCATCTTGACCAGCGTTGATGATTTGAGATTGAGTTTGTTGTGTTAAGATTTTAATAAGTAATTGTGAAAGTTGTTGAGAACATGCTGCTGCTCCAACTCTACCTAATAAGGTAAATATATCAATTAATTTATTTAAACACATAATAACAACATCTCTATCTACTGCTTGATCACATACAAGTAAGTATGTATTAATAACTTCGTTATATATTTTAGAAAGAGGTTCTGACATATTACCAATATTTAAATGAACTTTGGCAATACTATCTTCATTAATATTCTTTACAAAATTACTTCCATATGGATTTTGTCCAAATGGAATATATAACTTTTCTTTTGCAAGTGGAACATATAAAACTGTCCATAAAGCCTCACACGCTGATTCAGCTACTTCTGTTCTTTCATCAACACACATTTGATTAATAAATGTTAAAAGAGATGGAACGTATTGTTCCATTTCTAATGGAACTGTTTCAAACATTTTTGAAATTAACGTAACGGCTGATGATTTTTCAAGAAGGAGTCCACTATAAAATGAAAGACGTTCTTCTTCTTCATCGTCTTCTTCTTCTGATGAAATTTCTAATTCATTATCTTTTTTATCTACATAATCATCTTCACATTGGAATGAATGAACAACTTTTTCTATAATACCAGGAATTAATGGTGCTAGTTCGCTTCCATAAACAGAAAACAAGTCAACAAGTGCCATATATGCAAATTGTCTTAACTCATATTCAAACGAGTGTTGAATACTTATAAGAGCTTTAACAATTTCAATACAATCATTTAAATATGGTCTAAATTGTTCTTTTCCAATAGCTTTAGCAACACAAGCAAGCAACTCCAATCCTCTTCCTCTTTGTAGAATATCAATGTCTTCATGTACTTCTGCAGTAATCATTTTATGAGATATTTGAAGAAGTGTTTGAGCAAATGGTAATATTTTATTTCCAACAATGAATACTGTTGCTGACAATGCAGATAAGGCTGCATCTCTTGTATCAAAATCAGATGTTGTTGTAATGCAATTCAAGCATGTAGATAAGATATCACCAACTACTGGTTCTATTTCTTTCAATGATAATTTTTCTATCATTAAATGAATATCAAAATATGCAGCAGATTGAATTGAAGAAACAGGGTCTTTAGTCATAAACACCAATGCCTTAAGGTATTGAACACAATTTATAAAAACAAAAGTTACTCCTGACTCTCCTAAATCACCAATACATTTTAATGCAGCACCTCTTACAGTCACGTCTTGATTTTGAAGGGCTTGAAGAATAAATGGAGATAAAACATCACCAACTTCATCAATAGAAATTGGACAAGTATAAGTCATTGAACTAATTGCCATTAATAATGCACAACTAACACCAGGAAGTGGATTATTAATAAATTGTGAAGCAATTTGCCAAAACAAAGGGAAGAAATCAGAAGAAGGAATAATTTCAGCCATATTAGAAAGAACTTGTCCAGCATAAATTCTATGTGGAGATTCTTCATCAGTAGGGTCTAAGGGATTATATTCAGAAAGAATAGACAATAATAATTCTGTCATAGGTGGAATAATACCATTTTTAACACAATAGTCTAATTCATCACAAACAAAAGTATTTAAAAATAATAAAGATGCTTGTCTAATTATTGGTGATACTTCCTTTGATTTTGCTGCTTCAATACAAAGAGCGGCAATTGGAGATGTAATTCTTTGAGTAATTACATCAAATTCTGGAATATTACAAAAACCTTCAACAATGTCAGACATAACATCAATGATTTCTGAAAACTCTTCATCACATTCTTTTTGATGACATTCTTTTAATAAATTTACAACTAATGGAATAACTTGTTCATATGGTGCAAGGTCTTTTGGATTATCTACAAAATCATATAAACTTCCTAAAATTCTTATTGCAAGAACTCTAATTTTAAATGATGAACATGTTGTAAGAGTATTACCAACTAATTGGAACAATCCATTCATTAATTGTGGTGTTCCTAATCTTAAATAGTATTGTGCTAATTCAATAATTAATCCAAAGCCAACTTCTTTTTGAATTTCGTTTTGACTTTGTGTCCATTGTAATACTTGGTTCAACAGTGCTGGCCATTTTCCAATTGGAATTGTTAATTTACCAATAACAATAATAATTTGTGCTACTGTAATAGAAATAATTTTAACAGTGTCTGTATTTATGATTTGAATTAATGCATTTTCTATTTGTTCTTGAATTTCTGGTGTTAGTTTTGCCCATACAACTGATATTTTCTTTCTTAATAAAACCCCTGTGATTTGTCTTAATTCTGGTCTTGGATGATTTACTAATATATTCATCATTGGCATAATAATTTCTGGATGTTTTAATAATTGTACAATAGTTTGTGTAGCTTGACTAATAATTTCGGTGTTTGGTACCAATAAATTAGATATAATTTGTTCAAGTTGTTCTGGTGTTATGTTCATTAATTTACCAATCTTTTTTATTCTTTTCCTTTTTAACCCTTTAATTAATTCTTTTTATTTTTTATTGTTTTTTTACTATTTGTTTTAGTTATAACCCTTTCATCATTTCTTTACTTTGACGTTTTACATACTATTTTTCTTTTTATAATAATCTTTTTTTTATTATTAATTTACTTCTTATCAAGAAACAATTCAAGCTGCCGAAGTATTACAGGACACACCACAAAAATTATAAAATAATCAATAACAAAAGAAGGAGAAATCCATACCAACCAAGAAATATAAATGATAGAAGAATGAGTGAAAACAGGTATTATCTGTATGGACAGAAATACATTAATCATCACATTAATCATTACCATAATAATAACTATCACCATAACAATTATCATAATAATTATAATAATAATGGTAAGAATCGTTTCATTCATCACTTCATTCTTTTTCATCATCATAAGTATTTTATCATTAATTCAAATAGAAACAATCATTATTATAATACAAATAAATCACATAATAAAACACATCATAGATATAAATATTACCATAATAAAAAACAACAACAAATAAGAAATAAAAGAAATGATAGAAATACAAAACAAGAATATTTGAAAAGACTAATTGAAGAAGAAATTAAAATACTTACACCACAAGAAATAGAATAAATTAAGAACACTAAGATTAAAAAATACACACCATCAACAATAATGAGAAGATGGTATTTACTTGTAAGAGAAAAAATAAAAATGAGTAGAATGGAGAAATTATCAGCATGACACTTGAAGAAGAAGATAAACAAATAAATCAAAATGAAATAAATGATAAATATTGAAGAGAAGAAGAAGCTAATAGAAAATGATGATAAAAATGAATTTGCTGAGGAGAAGAAGATGTTTAATGAAAAAGAAAAGATGAAATTAAAAGAAGAAGAAGAAAAGAACAATGAAAAAGATAAAAGAATAGAAGAATTAAAGAAAAGAATAGAGGAGGCTATTAAAGAGAAAGAAGAAATGAAGAAATACAAAAGAAGGACCAGACCATTAATAAATTATCAAATGACATTATATCATTAAAGAAGAAGCATGAGAAGGAGATAAACACTAAAAAACAAGAAATTGATAGAAAATTATTCGAATTCAATGCTGAATCAGAAAGGAAAAGGTCTGAGGTAAGCAATTTATCACAACAAGTATACTTCTTGAAAGATAAATTATTTAAATTACAAAATAAAATTACACAAGAAGAAAAGAAGAAAGAAGAGATAAATCACACTATATCTGACTCATCTGAAACACAAATTATGAATAACCTCACCCAATGTGGTAGTAACTGATGAAATATCATCAAGCGAAGATGATCTTCAAAAAAAGAAAGTTAACACAGAATTCAATCGAAGAGATGTGAAATCAGCATAAGAAGATCATCACATCTGATCATGACATTCAAAAAAATAATTGAAGCAATGAGAAAGAGAAGAATAAATTCTAACACTTTATAAATGTTTTGCACTAAAATTATTAGAAATAAAATTAAGAGGTCAACTTAAAGAAGAAGAAATAAAAAGATTAATACATGAAATTGATATTAAAATAGAAGATATTAATGAATATAAAAAAATATTAAAGAAAACATTTAAAATAAAGAATGAAATTAAAAATGAAGTCAATAGAAGAAATGAAGAAGAAATAATAACACACAAATTGAAAGATATTGAAATGAAAGAATTAATAAAATAAACAAGAAATAAGAATTACAAGAAGTAATAAGAATAAATAAAGAAGAAGATATGAAATAACAAGAAGATGTACAATTTATTAATTATTATTACAATAAAAACAAAGTACATCAAATAATTAATATCATTAATACAAATGAAATATTAATCAATACATTAGATGATTACTACCATTATATTAAAATTATAACATCAACTATTAACATCATTATTAATAACAATCAAGAAAGAAATTGAATGAGAAATATAGAAAGAATACTACAATCAAAAATATGTAGATTAAGAGATTTACTCCATAATAACCAATATATGAAATTAAAAAGAATATTACATATTAAAAATATGATATATATCATATTAAAATAAAAACAAATGAGCAAATAAACTATTACAAATACCTCCAAAGAATGAAAAGAATAGAAATAAAAGTAAGAATAAATTGAAAAGAATAAGAATGAATTATAAAATGATAAAATATTGAAAGAGACAACATCTAAATAAGCCTAAAGAAGATGAATATCCAGATAATATTACTACAATTAATTTCTGGAAATGAATCTATGAAAATAACACTAATATAGATTTCCTAAATATTAATTTATATGAAATATTAATTGAAAATAGAATTAATAATAGAAGTGTGTAATCACTCTAGATGAATTAAATCATGCAATAAAATTTATTGATAATTGGAAAGCACCTGGAATTGATAAAATACAAGGATTCTGGATTAAATATTTAGAATAACCAACCAATTTCTTATTAAAATTATTTAATAAAATGTTGTATAATCATAATGATATCCTTCTTCAATTTATCCAAGGAAGAACATTATTAATATATAAGAAATGAAATAAATTATATAAACAAAATTACAGATAAATAAATTGTTTAAATTGTATGTTAAAAGTATATACATCTTTATTAAAGATGAAGATAGAAAGCCAATTGATGTTAAATCAAATTGAAAAACAATTATCACAAAATCAAATTTGATGTAAAAAATATACATATTATCAAAAGAATGATTAATATACAATATTATAATCCAATAGTTATTAATCAAGGCTAAATGGAAGTGGGTAGAAACATATTATGATGTCTCTAAAACATATGATAGTATTAATCATCAATTTGTTAAACAATGTTTAGTTTATTTTAATATCACATTAGTTGTAATTAAAAGTATATTATATATATTAATTATTACACAACTATAATTATATTATAATCAACAAAATGTAGGTATAATTAATGTAGAAAGAGGAATAATACAATATGATAGTTTATCTCCATTATTATTTGTATTATCTATTGATATATTATCTAAACAATTAGATAAACAAATTAATAAGTTATCTATTAAAATGAATGGAGAAGAAAAACAAGTACAGTTAAACCACATATTATATATGGACGATTTAAAGATAATAACTAACAGCCTCGAAGAAATGGAAAAAGCCCACAAATTAATAAATGAAATATTTAATGCAATAGGACTAAAAATAAATGTAGAAAAGAGTGGGATAATGACTAATATCAATGGTCAGATAAATGGAGAAATAGCTGAATTACCAAGAGTAACTAATGATAATCATTATAAATATCTTGGTATTGAAATAAGAGATAAAATAAATATTAATAAATATTATACATGATTATTAAATGATGTATCTTCTATTCTATCATCATTAAATATTATGAAATATAGCAGCCTCAATACAATTAGAAAAATTAATAATGATATAATCTCAAAATTAAGATATTGATTCTGTATTATCAAATGGAAACTTGGTGAGTTGGAGAATATAGATAAATAAATAAGAAAATCATTGATACAACTCCAACTATACAGTAGAAACATCAATAAAAGTAGATTATATGTTACAATAAATGAATTAGGAATGTGATTAATGTCACCACGAGATGAATGTGGTAATGAAATAATAAGAATATATTTAAAATATAATATCAAATACAGAAATAGGAGAAATGATAGAGGCAGTAAAAGAGAATCCAAATGGAATAATTAAAAGAATGAAGAGAGTATTTGGTAAGAATATTAATTTCAATGAATTAATGAATATAATATAATTAAACGAAAGAAAACATGATGTAAGCAAAGTATTTGAATTTGTAACAAATAAAATAAATGAAAGATATTTAAATGAATGGAAAGAAATGTAGTGAATATATAAGAAATGTAAATTGTATATTTAATAATAATAAATTAACAGTAGCCACATGGATGTCATTAAATATAAAAAGAAATGCATTCCTCCAAGTAGTAAAGATACAAGAAGGTGTGACTATGACAGGAATTATTAATTCTAAAATACTCCATTGTGATGTTTTAAAATATTTTAAACATTGTCCTATCACAATTACATCTATTAGCCATATTTTGTTAGGATGTAATGAAGAAGAATCAAATATTAAAACACGATTATGTATGTAAACAAATATATAAACATATATTAATTACCCATTTTAATGAATTTGTTGAAATAGATTTTGATACACCTCCTAAGTGTATTAATAATAATGAAATGGTTATAAATTACATTAATGATTTATTGGTTAGTGACCATTCTTTTAATGTTAGAATACCAGATATATATTATCAAATCATCAAAGATAAAAAATGATATATTAATGATGTCGCCATATGTCAAGATAGAAATAATGAATTAAATTATATTTACAAAATAAATAAATACAAAGAATTACAAGAGAAGTTAATACAAAATAGAGAAATAATTTATGTAGAAATAGTACCTGTAATATTAACAATAAAATAATAAAGAAACAGTAATAAGATTAAAGACACTAAAATTACAAATTGACTTCCCCAAAATACTACGAACAATCATTATTAAAAACATGAAATACTTAATGTTCTACATATTTAACACTGGCAACACATTAGAAGAAGAAATTTTAACTCTCACATGACTGAAATGAGCTCTATTATAGAAATAGACCATATTGAAATCACTGAAATAATCACTTCTCAATAATCATAAAATCAAATTGTGGATATATCTATTAACTGAAATTTTTGATGTATTAAATCCTTTCTCTTTGTAATTATATCGAATTTATTGATTAAAGGTTTTTAGTGTTTAGAATAATTTACTTTCCCTGTAAAGTATATTCTTTTATTTATACTCAATTCTACCTTTAGTCTTCTCATTGGAAATGTTTTTGTATTTAGAAAGAGCACAACTTTTCTTTAACTATCGAATTAGAGTCAGAACATTATCAAAATGAGTAATGGAATTAGTGATAACTCATTGACATTGTTCAAATTAATTTTTATGTAGAAAATTTGGAAAGGAATAAAATATTTAATTCTACTGATAAGCAACCTTCATAATTATTCAGATACATACATTATTAAATAAAAGGTACTTTACTCGTTTCTAATATTTGCAAATTAAAATGTGTGATGAAATAACAGAGGATATTCATTGAATAGATTCAATAAGAAAAGTTTATATTATTGAAATTAAAAGAATGAAATAATAATTTAATAAAAATTTAAAATAAAAAGATGAATAAATAACAAATATTTTTTTGTTATTTAAAGAAAATGAAATAAAAAAAAGAACTATAAAATTAGATTCATTAAATAAGAATGGATAGAAAAGGGAATTTTATGGTAGCTCCATACGTAGCGATTTTTAGAGCATTATATGAAGAAGTTAAAGAGAAAAGAAAAACAGAAGATCTCTCATTAAAATTAATTAAAGAAGCAACGAAAATAAAGAATTATAATGATGAAGAATTTAAAGAAGATGTAGAGAAAAAAGAAGAAGAATATTATGGGATAGTATTTGAAATAATAGAATTAAATAATGTAAAACTAAATTTATTAGTATTAGAATTGATAGAACAATTTATTAAAGATGAATTGATAAGTGATGTTTGTTACTAAATAAACAAATATATGATATGTGATATATGAAAGATAGA